TGTCACGTCTCCCTGTTCTTTGGAAGTACACAGGGTAGACAGCTGTATGTCCATGAAGTTCGCCATTAATTCAACGATTTATTCAGTAACGAGTTCCAATTTCTTTTAAAAAAGGTCTCAAGGTGAACTATGGCACGGAAATGACCATTATTTTGCAATATCATGCGATCTTCATGGCCAAAAGCCGGGCCAAAGGACAGGGAACTCAAAATCACCAGAAAATGACCGGCCGATTTGCAAGCTGCAGACATCAAAATATTCACATGTGCAAGAGCTAGCGTCCGTCAAAAATTCCTGAGCCTCTAAAAGTCACCGTTCAAGGTCAAACGCGAGCTCAAGGGACGGAGAACTCCATATCAACCAAAAATTGCCGGCCGATCTTAAACTTGCAAATATCAGAATATTCACTTCAGAAAAAACCAGCGTCCGTTACAAAGTCCTGACCTCTCATTGTCACCCTTCAAGGTCAAACGCTGCCTCAAAGAGCAGGGAACCAAATATCATCCAAAAATAACCGGCTAATTTTAAACTTGCAAGTATCAGAATATTCACCAGAGAGAGAACTAGCGTCTGTTATAAAGTCCTGACCTCTCAAGGTCATTTTTCAAGGTCAAACGCGGGCTCAACAAACGGGGACAAGTTTGACGAACTGTAGTTATTCCTGTAGTGTGCATTTTGGTGTTTGGAAAGTTAAAATCAGCTGGTAATTTTTTCGGCTATATGCATTTCCCGGTCTTTTAAGCCCGCGTTTGACTTTGAAGATCTACCTTAAGAAATCAGGACTTTTTGACGGACGCTAGGTCTTTCTGTGGTAAATATTTTGACTTTTACAAGTTTAAAATGGACCAGGACTTTGTTCAAGATATTGAGTTTTTCGTCCTTTGAGCCCGCGTTTGATGTTGAACGGTCACTTTGAACGGTCAGGACATTTTTACAGACGCTAGCACTTGCGCTTGTAAATGTTTTGATGCTTACAAATTTCAAATCGGCCAGTAATTTTTTTGGTGACGAAGAGTTCCCCGTCCTTTGAGCTCATAACTGGTGTTGAAGGGTGACCTTGATGGGTCAAGACCTTTTGACGGACGCCGTTTTTTCTGTGGTGATTATTCTGGTCCTGGGTAGTTTTAAATCAGCCGGTGATTTTGGGGTGATATTGAGTTCTCCGCACTTCGAATCCACGTGGACCTTGAATGGTGACCTTGAGGGGTCATGACTTTTTGACGGACATTAGTGCTCCTTGTGATGAATATTCTGATGTTCAAAAGTTAATAGCACAGTGCACTGGTTATTAGCGCCGTGCTTTTGTGACAAAAAATTGACAAGCCGGAAACCGATGTGGAGAAAGGAATGAGTCAGAACCAGACATGTGCCTGGTTCCTAACATTGGTTCCTGGATCCCACTGGTTCTTTCCACAAAACGAGATTCCGGATCCTGGTTTCCACTGGTTATTTCGACAACACAAGACTCTGGATCCTTGTTCCCACCGGTTCTTTCGACAAAACAAGGCCCTGGATCTTGGTTCTCACTGGATCTTTTGACTAGACCTCTATGGCCCTCAAGCCACGAGCTGAAGATTGCGGGGCACGACCAGTAGATCTTGGAATAACGCTATGGGCCTGCAAACCAGGCAAACTGAAGATTCATCTTCAGAAAGCGCACTTTTCCCGTCCCCTGACGTCACGCCGATGTGTGCCGTTTGGCTGCCGTTCATGGTACAATTGTACCCAACTGCACCGTTTACTGCCTTACGGTGTCCCGCATTTCATTAGCGGCTTTGGATCGGCTGGCGTTTCTATCGCCCAGGTTCGAGTGTCGCCCCCGTCTTTGTTGTGATCAAGGGTTGTGATTGTTGCGTACACGCGCTGAAAGTAAGCTGGGGCGATTGGCTTAGACTGCATGTGATTCGCAACAAACAATCAATGACGTCCTTTCATCAATTCCCTTCATCCCTGGATAAGTGAGTAGATACCTAGGTGCGTAGGTACCAAGCCACTTAGCTGCTACACATTAGCAAAGATTATAGGCTGGGGTGCTACTTGCTCCCGTGTGAGGAACCTGGCCTCTGCAATGTTAACTTGCCTCCCCCTTTGTTGATTCGGGGCTACCAATGGGCAATTCACTGTTGCTGAAATCTTGCAAAACTGAGGGGTGTATGAGTTGAAAATTGTTGCGCGTCACCACAAAATTGCCTTCTCTGGACGTCACATGATAGTGATAAATGCTACGCTGGCAAACCAATTTTGCATGAATTATGCAAAGGTAAAATAATCGTTCAAAAAAAGACAGTGCGTGTATATTTACTTTTCTACGTACCGACCTGGCCATGGGATGTGCAAGGCATAGCCTTATGGCGAAGAATCTCATGAAATAGCAGGTGAATGAGTTACTCTGGTAGGTTGCATGAATTTATGATGATTTGGTGGGATGTTGAGCGTATTATTAGGGAAAAAATATATTCAGGCCCTTGGGAAAGCATGAAAGCAGATCATTGATGAGGTATGTTTATGCTGTCACATTCACGACCAGAGAGTGATGTTTCCGATTCGGTTCATGGGTCTCCAGCCGCACTTTTTGTTTTGCTTCACTCCTCAGTTTCGAGAGAATAGACTGAAGTTGTGCAGAAACACATTTATGGGTGCATTTATTTCGGGAAGTTTTGTCATTATTCCACCATTTAGCCTAGTCCTGATATTTGGGAAACTTAGCTTGTGAGACACAGGTAAAACAAGGATCACGTGCATCTTCGCGCCAGTTATCTTTAACTTTGCAGAACGTGTGCAAGTTTGTCATTAACAGAGCGTCGAATAAATGATGAGCATGCTGTTATGTTTCCCATGAGCATGATCTTATGCTCACCGTCTCGATAAAATACGGTCACAGACATGAACTTGAGAAAATTATTAGTTCATATGCATTCAAAATTTGCCGATGAGTTTTAGTATGCGCCCGGCCGGGGTCTCAGACAACCGGGCCCGGGCGGGATGGGGGGGTGGGGGTGGAAGGAGGGGGGGGGGGGGGAGAAAGGAAGTTCACTTCCCCTTGGATCTGCAACTTCCAGACGTCGTGTAAGAAAGGCAAATTATGCCGTTGTGAAGGTCTCGTCAAATCATGAAGGGTGCACACTGCGTTCTTTAACCTAGGTCAAACGTGTGGTCACCAGAGGCCACGAAGTAAAAAAGGTCGTTCTGGTAGATGCGGTTAAAACACATGTTAACACGTCAAGACGGATCTTGAGGGCACATAAGTAAGTGTTAGACTGTGGGGTGTCCATTGCGACCATTTTTCCCCCTACAAGGGCCAGTTCAGATCAGGTCACCGTTCAAACTTGGTCTACCAGTAGCCCAAAAGAACGATACTTTTTTGTTTTCTTCACAATGTGCTTTTGACCACGTTACTGTACAAGGTGTAGCTGTGGAACAAACTATTCCAGACACAAAAATACCATTTTAGGGTGACCTAGAGGTCATCTGAGGCCAACTTAGATCAAATTCATACACCATCCAAATGAAAAGTGTGAAGCCCTAACCGGGTCTAGGTGACCACTACACCGTTTTTTTCTTTGGTTGGAAATGGTGCGTTGCACATCTATAGATACCCAAGGCTGCACAGCTCTTGTATACATTATGCATAGTATACACACTTCTGACAGCGAGCACTCTCTGCATATTTAGCTCCCATGACCGAATCGTTGCCACTCGCAGGAGCGGATTGGGTTCGGAATGAAAAATCGGGCAGAGAAGCGAGGATGGCCAGCAAGGAGAGCTTCCGGCAGTGGATTTGTTTGGGAAGTGAGGACGAGCAGACTGGTGTCACAACTTTGGCCATCTCCGAATGTTACCAGACGAGGACGTAGCAAACCGTCTTTGCGCGAAGCCCATCAATAATTTTGCCCCGGTCATAACTTGCATTTGAGGAGTGAAGATTGTCCCCTTGGTAGTGTTCTGCGCGGGGTGGAGCGAGACACCAACATTTTTCAGCAGAATTCGGTAGTTCTGAAGATGGCCTTTGTCTGAGGAGAGTTTTTGTTTTAAGGATGAGAGCCATTTACCGGGCTATCGATGTCCAGATCAGACACACCGCGAATAGCCTGAGTTAGTTTGTTCGACCAGAAAATATTGACTTTCCGGAAGGAAACGTTCTCATCCCTGCTTTCATAGCCAAAAATGAACCGAGTGGATCAAGACAAGTTTCTGGGTCCTGGTTTAGTCAGGCGTCATTCCAAGACATGCAACGGTCATGGCTAGAATGTGTTGCCTGTCCGATGGAGCCAGGGGTCTTTGCCAGAGTTAAGCGAGGGTCGGCGGGGGTTCGTGGTGGAGCCAGGGGTCTTTGCCAGAGTTAAGCGAGGGCCGGCGGGGGTTCGTGGTGGAGCCAGGGGTCTTTGCCAGAGTTAAGTGAAGGTCGGTGGTGGTTTGTGGTGGAGCCAGGGGGTCTTTGCCAGAGTTAAGCGAGGGCCGGCGGGGGTTCGTGGTGGACGTTTAGCAGGGCAGATCCGGAGTCAGAATCCACTGACACTCAAGTTTCGGTGGGAGGAGTAGTGGCGGAGCTAGACGCGATTTCAGCGTTCATGCCGTGGTCGGTGGTAGGTGTAGTCAATGCGCTGGGATCATCGTCGACGTACTCATCAATGGCCAACGGGCTGTTAATTTCTATGACAAAATCAGAATCACAGTGTGTTCATGGCCTCGTTCTTCTTACCTCGCTTCTCCGAAGCAGGGGAGCGCATAGAGAACGACAAAATATAAATGTCCAGGTGTGGTTAATGCGAAGTGTGGTACAAGCTATAGAAACGACGAGCAATAGGAAGGTCTGCTTGGTAGAAAGCTGCAGCAAGGGTAATTGCTCTATCTCAGGGAAGGCCCTGCCAAAATGGCATGGCAAATGACTGGTTCGACGATGTCTGATCAAATGACGATTTGGTTAGCTGTCATTTGGATTTAAGCCCTTTTGACCAGACATGATCATTGCAGGGCTATGGGATGAAGGAGAATGGATAACGATGGGGCACGACTACGTGCGCCTGGAGGCCAACTGCCGAGACTTAGCCCGCGCAAGAGACCCCTCTGCACGGTGTGCGCTGGACGCCCGGCCGGGGCCCCTCTTCAGGGGGCCTCTCTGTCCACTCGTGGCTGATGCATGCAGCCTGCCCCTGGCGAGTGGGACGCCGCGAGGATTCAGAATAAAACGAAGAAGAGGATGAAAAGGTCGGATAATGCAAAATGCAAAAGAAAGTCAATGCGATGCAAACGGCAGCCAACATGAGGCTTGTCGCAATACGGAAGGACGGAAGGGCCCCACCCCAACCATGACGAGGTCACTGACCTCACAAACCACTGGGCCACGCCATACCTCCCTCATCAGAGGATTAGCGGGAGAAACTAATTGTGGTGTAATTCCCGACGACGCCCGGCTTGCCATAATACCTCTGACGAATGTCTGCAGAGATATGGATCACCTTGAGCGTTCGCAGCGACAGCAGGTAGCAGCCAACCGCAAGCACAGCCGCGCGCCGCGTCCCCCTCCACCGGCTCGCGACCGCAGAGCGCTGCGGCGGCGGTGGAGCGCTCCGCCGTGCTTCAGCGCTGTCTCCAGCAGATCGTCGCGTTCGACGCGCCGATCCCGGCTGCAGGACTGCCCTGTCCCTCTGCCACGGTCGGCAGCTTCTGGAGCTGCACGTCACACGGTGCTCTCATGGTGCGTCTCTAAGACGGCCGCTCAACCGTTGAGTTTGGCGATTTTGGCTTCGGCACGAGCGATTTTAAGTTTCGACATGTGTGGCGTGCTTCAGAGCGGCGCATCTAACCTCTTTATAACGTGTCATGCTTCTCAGCGCGTCTCGATATCCTACGCACACCCCAAACAGCCCCGGGGTACGTGGCATTGTAATGCATTATGGCTGACACAGTCATGAGTTTTTTTAATGAAGTACAAATCTTTGGATTGCATGTTTTTCTGGGCTGGGTGCCCGCGGTAAGCAGCGCTTGTTTCGCCAGACCTGGCGCAATGGTAGAATTACAGCCAACAGCAGAACTTAGCCGCTAAAACTTCGTGAGCCGCAATGTTCGGCACAGCTCACCATGCTCTCTGACGTTACCAGACCGCTAACACGGCCGCTGCCACTGGTCACAGGCTACTCCAGTCGAGAGCAAATAGAGAGTGCCTAAAGCGACACGAACCCACCCTGCCCGAGGTCTGATAATCTGAAGGCAGGTGCTCTAACGGGCTGTGTTATCAGGAGGGACTATAGTATAGAGGGACTATAGTATAGTATAGTATAGACACCTCTTCTGATGGATCGCATGGACGCGAATTACAAAATTGTTTTTCCTTGAATTACACCCCATGCTTGGTTTTTCACGATGCTGCAGGTTTTCATTGCTTTGAAATGGGAAATTTGTTTAAGGAAGTTTGTGTTGGCTCCGCAGCAAGTAGCTTAGGAATCGACAGAATGTTTAACAATGTTTCGCTATTTAAACACCGGAGACGCAGCTTTGCGAGTGACTGTGGTGTTGGCGTGACGGTTAGGCACCATAAACGGCTGTCTCCCCGCACATGGCCGTGCGCCCTTAACCGCGGTATCCCACCTCCAGCGCTTAGCTGGTGATAATATTTAAACAGGGCAAAAACGGGACCAGGTGCGATGAGCGAAATTAGCCCGTGCTGAATCCCGTGTTGCGTTTAAACTGGCAGGGGCCGACGCAACCGGCGACTTACATTGGCAAGCGCCCGATGGATATCAGCTCTGGGAGCCCCTCCATGCCGCCGTGCATAACCCTGCGTTCTGGGCGGTGCGAATTGGTCCCTGCCAATATCACATAACACGCATCTCCTCATGCCGTCACGCCTGATGTCAAGTCCAGTCATGATCTTCATCGCAGCCTTTGCCGTCGTCTCTCCTTGGACGTTTACCGGGAATAGAACACCGATTGTTGACGTACCATAAGCCTTAGTTTTTTCAGCCATGTCTTTTCAATGTCGCGGGAGCGCCGACTCGAAAGCGGATTACACGGATAAGCCTGGGATGGTGGAATTTGCTGGCCCCGGTCCGTGATTCACGAGATAATGTCTGGTCAGTTGGAAAGCGGCAGAAGCGGCAGTCGGGCCGCGGAGAAGCTTGCTTGTTTCCACCCAGCAATGAGTGTCGGAGCACGCGCGCCGCTCGGGGCGGTACTCCTGCTAACTCTGTCGACGTGGCCGGCGGACGCGGTACGCACAGCCGACAGCGACCGGCCGGACCTGCTGCCGACAGACTGTGGCCGCCGCCTGGTGAGACCGGACGAAGCCGTCCGACTGTTTATAGTCGGGTCGGGTAACACCACCGCCTTCTACGGCCAGTACCCGTGGCAGGCGCGGCTGGTCGTATATGATGCCAATGCCCGGGGCTACATTCATCACTGCGGCGGCATCATCATTTCGCACGAACACGTGGTGACAGCCGCCCACTGCGTGGTTGAGGTCGTCCCCCATCGGCTGCTGGTGCGCGTCGGGGATCTTCGGATTGACAGCCGCGAGCTTTACGAGCAAGAGTTCGCCGTCGCCAGCTACCAAGTGCACAACCGGTTCGGCACGGAGCAAGGCCTGCGTCACGACGTGGCCCTTGTGCGGCTGCGTCGCCGCGTCGGACCCGGCATTGAGTTCGGCCGCTACGTGCAGCCGGCCTGCCTGCCGGCGGCCGACGCCGAGTACGAGACGTTCCTGCCGTGCGAGGTATCCGGCTGGGGGCGTACCTCAGACGGCGCGCCGATCTCGGAGGTGCTGCGCGGCGTCTCAGTGTCGTTGGTGTCGGACGTCTTCTGCGGCGCGCCCGAGGTTTACCAAGACCGCTTCCTACCCGGCGCCATGTTCTGCTCGGGTCCGACGGGCGGCGGCGCCGACAGCTGCGAGGGCGACTCGGGCGGCCCGCTGGTCTGTGGCGACGCCGACAGTGGCCGTTTCGTGGCGTATGGCGTCGTGTCGTCTGGCGATCCGCTGGGCTGCGGCCGACGACCCGGCCTGTACACCAAGCTGTCAGCATACGTGGGCTGGCTGCTGCGCCGCCTCCAGCTGGACCAGGAAGAGGACGCGGTCCCGAGCACGGCTGTGACTTCAACTCCAGAGGTCCCCGGTCGGCCTGAGGGCGACCTGGGCCGGCCTTGCTTCACCCCGGACGGCGTAGCCGGCTTCTGCTTCCCGCTGCGAGACTGTCCCGACTTGCTGCCGGCGCGCGGCGGGAATCGGTCAGATCTGTTGGGCCGGCCTCTCTGCGGGCTGGGCGCAGCTTTCACGCCGCTGTTCTGCTGTCCCAGACAGGCCGCGCGCAGCGCAGGCTGCGGACGGACCAGCTTCTCGCCGCCGCAGCTGGGTGCTGCGTTCGCCAAGAACGCCGCCAACTTCCCCTGGCTGGTGGCCATCAGCGATAAGAGCAGCGGCGTCCGAGGTGAATTTTATTGCGGAGGCGCCGTGATCTCCGACCGGTGGGTGTTGACAGGGGCGACCTGCGCTCAGGCCGAGAGCGGGATAACGGTGCGGTTTGGTGACCTCGACTTACAGGATACATCCGACGACAATCCCAGCGCACCCTCGTTCGAACTGGACATTGTGGAGGTTGTGCGGCATCCCGAGTTTGCACCGCGGAATCGCGCCAGGTCTCAGGACATTGCGCTGATGAAAACCGCGTCAAAAATTACATTTTCTAGCACTGTAAGCCCTATATGTCTACCAGACGCGCTCCCCACATCGACTGTGCCAACGGACAAGGACCTCATCTTTGCGGGCTGGGGTGCGCCCAATTTTGGCGACAATATCGCGCTCTTGTGGCTGAAGTGGGCAAGAGTGAGAGTGGTTGATTTGCAGGGTTGTAGAGCCAATTACACTAAAAGTGCATCAGAGGAAATTTCACAGTTTTTTGGAGCAGGTACGTTTTGCATAAAGCTTCTTGAACCAACAACAGATTTCACGTGTGCCGTCAACGCTGGCGATCAGGGCTCTCCCTTTATGGACGTTGTCAGAGAAGGCGGCATTGATAAATGGTACGCGGTGGGGCTGGCTCTTGGTGGGACCGGTTGTGGCATTGACGAGTTTCCGAACATTAATATCGCGCTTGGACCATCGATGGACTGGATTAAGTCTGTCATCACATCGGTCTCGTAAATGCTATTTTAGTTATGTGTGTCGCTCAGCAGTGCAATCCTTCGTCTCCGCTGTTTTCGGGATATTTCTCGTTTAGTGTGTTGCATGGGCTGAGCTCCGTCAACCGCAGTTTGAAATGGCAACAGCCAAGATACCCTGCTGGCAGCACAATTGTTTTGTTTTAGTTGCGTGGGAGCTGACCCGCGCTTTGACGTTTGACTCTAAATTTCACGTTTGACTTCCTGTGTGGACGGAGTTGATTCCGATTCATATGTGGACGGAGTTGATTCCGACTTCTGTGTGGACGGAATTAAATCCTATTCTGATTCCTTCTCACAGCGCATGGGTTTGATTGCGAACCTGCCTTTGTACACCGCGACAGCAATGTGAGACGACTCCGGTTTGCGATGGTAGCTGAACAAATTTCGGAATCGATTCAGATGGAGTCGAATGACATCTTGAAATTGCGAATGCTGTTGATCCGTATTAAGCTGATAAAATACACTCCAGGCTTCTCGTGGGCTTCAATGGTTGGGTTCACTTATGAATACCCACACCTAGGAAATGAGCGGCGCAGTTAGCTGGATAGATTTGAAAACGCGCCGTTGCGGGTGGAGGGTGCAGGTATGGGCTAGACGTACACCAAATGTCGCGAACATGCCTACAAAATAATGCAAAAAGGTAGCATTTGCGCTCATTTTAGTAACAATAAACTTTGTTCACCCGATTTTTGCAATCATCAACGCAAATAAGTAGATGTGGTTACCAACTTTCTTGAAACTCTCATTAGTCTAGTGCTAAAGCGCTGTGGTAAATAACAGAGAATAAGTACCTTGAAGGACCTGTTCTGGCGTATCAATTGAGCGCCTCTGCCCCCATCCAGTGAGCGTGTGGCTTTCCCGTGGGTGCTTGCCAGCCTTCTAAACCCACCCGTCGCAAACCGCGATTTACATTTATTTTGCACAGATTTACATTTATTTGTATATCATTTGTGTATTATTATTATATCATTTGTGTGCTATATATATATATATATATATATATATATATATATATATATATATATATATATATATATGGTTCACTTATGAATACCCACACCTAGGAAATGAGCGGCATAAGTGTGAATAATATATATGATAAGTGAATAATATATATATATATATATGTATATATATATATATATATATATATGTATATATATACGTATATATATTATTGCATTTTATTTGTGCGATTTACATTTATTTGTATCTTACTTATTTTGTATAGATGCTGCACTACGTGTAGCATCTATACAAAATAGCTGAATGAAGAGAAGCAGGAATTGAGAATAAATAGCAATGAGGAAATGTACCAGGACTATGCACCGGTTGTGCAACCCACCACACAACCAAAGTATGGAGTTTCGTTCTTGTGTCATCAAGCTTCTAACCTTTTTTATTCGACTTTTGCCCGTTGTATTATGGACGGCTGTCAAGACAGCTTCGTATTCATATTCACATTCAGATTTACCTTCGAGCCCGGGCCTCTTCAATTTCGCCCAAATTTCGCACACAGGCAGGAGTTACTGAGCAGATAATGGCGTGCCAGTCATTTCCGATCATATTGAAAACTTCCAGAGGCAACCAAAGTTCAAGGTCACTGAGTCCGACCCTACGATTCCGCTCAGCCTGGACTACTACAATTTAGGTAAAACCTCCACACAGGGAGTGTTCAAATCGTTGATCACGCTACAGCAAACCGTTTGGTGTCGCACTGAAGAATGAACCATCTAGAGGCGAAATTGTTCGTTCGACGTGTGAGGTTTCCGAGGTTTGGATGTGAAAACGTTCGCCGTACTCATATTCAAATCTCAGATTCAAATTTGTCTATTGACCGAACCCATACAATTTAGCTAAAACTATGTATGTAGGGGTACTCGATACGCTGATCACGCTGCAGCAAAAGCTTTGGCGTGACATGGAAAGATCAGTTTTCTAGACCCAAAGGTCTCCAACGCATTTACATTCAATTTTGTCTTGTCCGGATTAGTCGATTACCGGAGCAACATTGTTGGTATAATAGCTTGCGCACAGATAGCACTCATTGCACCGATCACAATGGTATACACCGTATACCGTCGCACTGAAAAATCTGACCTACAAAGGTCTCCACAGTTCCAGGTCACTGACCGCGAAATCCTACGACGTAGCTAAAAACACACCCATAGAAGGCACTAGATGAGCTGGCCACGCTTCAGCAAAAACTTCTGCGTCACGTTGAAAAATGAGGTCTCTGGAGCAAGAACAGTGTTCACACACTGCCGCTTCAGAAACGTATTCGCCGAATATTATGACCACTTTGACTAGAACTGTTGACGCAGAAAGTATTTTGTGTGCTGATCACAACGCAACTGTTTCTTGCAACTGAATTGCTTCCATCACCCCTAAAAAATGAGCCTTCCAGGGGCAAGTGAGTCCGCCTTACTCACATTCAATGTTTCGGATTCCGATTTGTCCATCGCCCGGACTCAAGCGATTGGTTTAAAAACTTGTGCGAAGAAAGTGCTCAAAGGGGCCCTGCTCGATCTGTCGATTGAACACGATTGTCAGCTGGAATGTGTGCTGTCTTGCGTGCCGGCGCAGCGTTTGATGTGTGGGCTGACGGGAAAGTTTGTGACTTTACCTTTCTTGTTGCCTTTACCTTTTAACTCCTTTAGATCACTAACTCTGCTTTACTGCCGATCATGCCATACTCCCTCTAAAGTGGTACATGGAAGCGTGCCTCCGCTGCACTATTGCCAGCTGTTCCACCCGGAAGTTTTGTGCTCCTTCCCATTCCCCTCTCATTTCAATTTCTTACCATCTCTTTTCGAGCGTTTGCTCACTTTTTTGTAGAAGAAAGGTCTATCGATTCGTCACGGCTACTTGTGCTGGCATGAAGCCCATTCTCTCACTGAACTCCCACCTATATTGACAAGGCTCTTGTTCGAGACGAAAGGTGTTTCGCTCCTGTTCTCCATCTTTTACGAGTACTCTGACGCTATTACTTTACTTCGGAATGCAACCACATGCCACACTTATCACTGTCCCTCACCTTCTCATAGCTACTCTTGGCAGCTCAATACTCTTCTTTTCTCTTTTACGTTTCATGCCCCCAAAATTATAGACAAGAGCCCCCAACCCACCTAACGTACTCGCAAACGCAAGAGCTACCACGTCAGACTCGCGTTTCCTTGTCAGAGCGATTTATATGACCTGGTAGTATTTTCTCTCCATGCTGACGGACTGACAAAAAATCGTGGCAGCAGCGTCAGCCCGCTGGTGTCGTCACAAACCACGTGGCTCTGTGGTTACGTGACGGAAGGAGTACGCTCAGTCGTAATTGGTGCCGACGAACGTGCTGTCGACAGATCGAACGTGGCGAGGAAAAGAGAAAGCAAAGAGAAAAAGAGAAAATAAATGAATTTATATATATATATATATATATATATATATATATATATATACACATATATATATATATATATATATATATATATATATAAGTGTCCGTATATATTTTGACGCTCTTCTGCGTGTTGAGATGCTATTGCATCGTCGGTTTAGTTTGAGACACATCTTTGATGACTTGCTATTTGCACATCTCGTCTCCCCCACGTAAGCGAAGTGTCTCTCTGCTTAGTATCAACACAGGCCCGTCTCTCGCTGGCGCCATGACCGACCCCGGCATAAGACTGGCGTGAACATGTGCCTTGGATCGTCACGAAGGTAGGCGCATATTTTACGGCGATCCGTGTAGCCGTCTGCGCTGTTTTTTTTTATAAAGTACTGCGAACACACAGGCAGACCGCCGCGCGCATGGAAATTGGTGAATCACACGTCGAGCTCGGAAAGCGAATGATGAAATGACAAATCGTGTTAGGAGTGCTGTCAACATGCGTCGCTCCTTTTCCAACGTCATTTAAAGCGTCCTTCTCAACAACCTTGTATTTCAGCTACCCCATGAGGAGTGAGCACCATCACCGTTCTCAGGCCGGCATCCCCACACCGGCGCCAGGCAGCCGGTGTGGGGATGAGATAGTTCCCCGGCCCGCGCAGAGGCGGAGGGAGACGTGCGGCCCGGGTCCCGGCGGCCGGCCGGCCGGCCCGCTAGCCTGGCAGTGTCAGGGCCGCTCTGCACAGCGGTGGGTGGAGACAGCCGACACGTCGGGTGGGAAAACGCAGCGGGAAGATAGGGCTTGCCATTCGGCCATATCGTTAAGACAAAAGATAGTTCGTCCAAAATTACTCACATTATGCATCATGTGATTGTGATCGCCAAATTCCATATCCGTCGACCATTGTACATTCCAACGTTTTGAAATCTTTTCTCATCGTCGGAGAAATAAAGTGGCGCAAAAAAACATTCCCAGACACACAAACTCATTACTTGTGCCGATGGAGGAGGGGGGGGGGGGGGGGGGGAGAGACAGCTGGATGATACGAAACAACACTCCTGCTCCTGGGTCGGTCAGTGGTATTCTGCTGCGCGGCACAACATACTTTGCAGTCATGGGCTACTTAAATAAAGCATTATTCATTACAGTTTTTGCTGAGCCCCTGGGTTCACATCTGATTAAAAAGGCCAATAATATCTTGCTTAACCCATCTAACCTGTCATCTAAGAGTCTAAAAAAACTAGAGCCCAAAGAGAGCAAATCCAAAACCGACACCGCACAGTGGGGCTATTTTGAGCTTTTTGCTTACCG